TAAAGTACTCAGAAAACAGTTTCACAATATTTAACAATGAGTAGAAGACTGTTTTCAAGGGATAAGATTTCTAAAATGTTCCATGCAATTTAAAATGCTTTAATTTCTTCGTTTAACAGTTTATCTAGTTAATGTTTTAGGCATTACCTTAAGAGAGAAACAAAAAATCCTTACTCTCACCCACTTCACTGATATTTCCAGGTGATAAACCTGACAAAGAATATATTAGTGGCCATCAATTCCCACTTGCCTTACACTGGCAGAACATCCTTTTTAATTCATGACATTGCAGTTAAGTTCTGATCAGTGTTTTGGATAGTAGATAACAGAGACTGTGCTGATAAGAGAATAAAGAGATAAAACAGTGTGATTTTTAGAGTGAAGAGGCTGGCAATGCCTCTCTAACAGCCTTCCTTGTATCCAGGTAGATATAAATAGGGCCTGGAAGGAACGTGTTGCACAATTACAAATTAACTATTAGGGGATATGAGCCTACAAAAAGAAATGCTACAGACAGGAATTTACATCAAGCATCTTCTGGATCCTGGCTCTTTGATTTACACCAGCTCATCCACAGAAAGAAGTTATTTTTGTTCATGATGAGTATAAAGAAGCCTCACATGGAGCCTTGCTTGGGCAGAATCCAGCACAGGCCTAAGGGGCTCTGGTCAGGCAATCAGGGCACCAGAGAGGGAGGGAGCCCTGGGCATGGATTCTTTACTGACTGCCTTTAGCCTTTGAGATGTCTAATAATGGTCAGGAATAATGTCCACTCTCCCACAACACAGGTGCTCTTCAGGCAGACAAAGTCTTGTTTAGATGTGGATCAGGTACCAACACTGAGTCTTCTGGACAAGTCAAATTTATCTTGTTCCTTCCCTTCACTTCCCCCAGAGAACCTTTACCTGAAAAGTCTCTTTAGTAAATGAAATACCCAGGGAACCAGAAACAGACATTTAAAGAAAAACAGTTCCTACTGATGCTAAGAGGAAGAAGGCAAAAATCTTCCTACTGATAAAGCATTGCTCAGTTGGAATCCTCCTGTTTAAAATTTATTTTCATATTCACAAAAATGTGATTAGTTTAAATTAAATTTCATGGGAAATTCATGAAAATTCACTTAAATGCTGGATGTTTACAGCATATAGAATCCCCAGATTTTTTCTAATGCTAACAATCACTCAGATCCTAACAGCTGAGAAGAAAAGGCTTTGGCCTTCCCTCCATACTCTTCCTACTTCTTTTCTCTTTATGCTCATCAAGGTGAAGACAAAGCCCATATGAGAGATTGGGTGAGACTGTTGATATATGTATCTCATGGCTACAGAGGTCTCTCAGGAGTGAGATACTTGTCTCCCAGCCTCCCAAAGAAGCCAGGCACACAGCTGTCATCACTATAAACTGAGCTGGACATTTATTTTTTCCTCCCGTAGCCATCTGCAGTCAGTAAATGAACTGATGCTCCACCTGCTGGAAAGAACTACACGAGTTCCAGAATTCAGAGAGTTCTTCCTATGGGGAAGATGCAATCCTTTAAGACTCAAAAAAACCACCTCTTCAGTCAGCAGACAAAAAATTAGCCAAGGATTTAGCTTGTCTAAGGTTCTATTCCCTGAACTAAGAACTTTGTGCGGATCTTCTGATGCCTCTGAAAGCTTCTGCCTTTACAGAATAAACAACCACCAGAACACTGTGACTCTGTGCACAAATTGCTTTAAATTAAAACTGCAGGTTTAGATTAGAGGTCAGAAAGAAATTCTTCCCTGTGGGGGATAAAGCACTGGCACACGTTTCCCAGAGGAGCTGTGGCTGCCCCATCCCTGGAAGTGTTCAAGGTCAGGTTATCCAGGGCTTGGAGCAACCTGGGATAGAGGAAAGTATCCCTGCCCACAGCAGGGAGTGGAACAAGATGAGCTTTAAGATCCCTTCCAACCCAAACCATTCTGTCATTCTGTGATTATAAGTAACACTTTTGCTAAGAGTCTGATCTTGGTTACCTTGTTTGGTGCAATACGGAAAATAATATAAAGCTGAAAAGGTGTTGCACTCCTCTTCCTCTCATTTGTACTAGCTTTTACTGCACTCTGAATTTTTCCAATGGTAACAGAAAAGTAGCAAAAGAATAAAAAAACCAAACTAATTCAACAGTGCAAAACATCTGCTGAAGGTTGCCAGGCTGACTAACTACCTACCTACAGCAGGTTAAAATAGGAATCAGGAAAAGAAGTCTAAAGCCTCAAGGTAGAAATGCATCTGGCAAGATCAAAGTCAGACAGCTCGTACCACACTCTTACAAGTGAAGTTCCTTTATGAATTATGTTATGATTTACAGTGGACTTTGTTTCATGATTTACAGTGTGTTTCTTTAAACTCAAACACAGATGCTTCAGATATATTTATAATGATGCTTGGAAGAAATCTCACACTGACCCTCAGGCAGCCTGAGCCACTTGAGTTGGTCAGTCTGTCTCTGCCACATAAATAATGACCAGAGGGACAGCTCTGATCTCTGCTCTCTGTGACCAGGGACAGGACCCAAGGGAACGGCTGGAGCTGTGTCAGGGCAGGGGTAGGTTGGATCTCAGGAAAAGGTTCTTCCCCCAGAGGGTGGTTGGGCACTGACCAGGCTCCCCAGGGCAGTGGGCACAGCACCAAGGCTGCCAGAGCTCCAGGAGTGTTTGGACAATGCTCTCAGGGACATGGGGTGTCCCATGCAGGGCCAAGAGTTGGACTCGATAATCCCTGTGGGTCTGTTCCAACCCAGGATATGCTATGATTCTAAAGTTCTGAAAATAAAATAATAAACATATACAACACAGAACATTAATCTGACAGTTAACAAACATCTCCAAATGCAAAAGAAGCCAAAAATGTCAGAACCATCCCTGCTGAACCGGGATTTGCAAGGAAGATGAGGATGCTGCTCTAACTGGTGGGAACTGATTGCTTTCCATTCCACTAAAGCCAAATACTTGAGAATGCAGAAGTAGAACCTCCTCCCTCCCTAAAACAGGACCATTTTGAGTAAATAAACAATTGTTTTATTTTGTCTATTCAGTTTTGTGTTCCTGGGGAGAAGCTGAATAATATTTTCGAATCCATCTTGATAACCACAGAAGCTGTAATTTCTGAGAGATTATTTTCTTATCTAACTAAAACTTCTAAGGACACCACCAAAGAATTTGCTCTGTTGGAGTTCAGCTCAGCAGCAAAAATAGTGAAAGATTCAGTAATGCCCAAAGGGAAAAACTGCAGACAGTTCAGATCTGAAGTATGTGATGTTTGACAGCATTTAACGAGTGATAATGAGCAACACTTCAGATCATACAGAAATCACTAATATTCAAGATATCAAAAAACTCCTTATGACTTAGTCCAGATAACTTTTTTAAGCCCAAATAACTATATCAGAACACTCCCTGCCTTCCCTAACACCACACACACACAGCAGTGATGGAAAAGGGGATGTGCACCATTTACTGACTGAGTTCATCTCCACTGGAAAACTTACATGATCTCTAGCACAGAAGGGCAAGTAAGAAGAGAGTTCCTTATTTTCTCATTCATTAGCAGCTTCAGGAAAATAAAGGCAGCTAAGAGACTTACTCCTCCATATCCCGTTTCCAATAGCCAAAGGAAGGTTGGTGTGTCTGATACTCCACCTGCAAAGCTGCCTCCAGCTCTGGGCCTCCAAATTAACAAGGATGTGGAGCTGCTGTGGTTCCCAGAGAAGCTGTGGCTGCCCCATCCCTGGAAGTGTCCAAAGACGGGGCTTGGAGCAACCTGGTCTAGTGGAAGGTGTCCCTGCCCATGGCAGGAGGTTGGAATTGGAAGTTCCCAAAGGTCCCTCCCAACCTAAACCATTCTGTGATTCTCTGATCTGCAAAGGACAGAATGAAGTGGTAGAAAGGCCAAAGACACTCAACTGCTTTTCCCAAAGTATTATTTTCCTAATGTGAAAATAACAACTGAGAGCATAAGTAAGTAAATAAAGGCATAAAAGCAACATAACAGGACATAAGCAAAGTTCCTATTCCTTATTTACAAATATGCAAAACGCTCTTTAAAGAGCATTTTAAAACCGTCAAAATTACAGATGAAAACTTGGAAACACCTGAATTAACAATGCTTCTGTAAGAATGACCACTAAATAAATATTTAGATAAATATTTTGATTCATATCAGAGAAAGGGGGGAGGAGGGAAAAACAAACAAACTGAAGAAAGACCCCACAGCTCTGAGCACCTGAATAAGCAAGAAAACCTTTTAGAAGTGGATGCTAGAAATTACGTACCCCGTAATAAGATGAGTAGCAGCACAAGTTTTGCTTTAAAATCTGTGGTTTAAGACAATCCTTAACATTCCTCATCTTTTTTATGCCACCTGTGCCAGAGCTGGGTTTGGAGTGATGCCTTAAGCCCCTAATGGTTTTTTATATTTTTCTAATATTTGTAAGACTTGTAAGTTTTATGAGTAGATTTTAAGAGCAGCATCCCTCCCTCCTTTGTCCCTTGTCCCTTATCCCTTTCCCTCTAGCACCCTTGTTTACACATTCCTTAACCCTCTTACCCCATTCTATGCTCCCTATATCAATCCTACTCCCGAATCCAATAGAAATGTTTAGCCTTTTGTCAAGGCAAGGCCTAGATTGTTGGCAGAACAGCATATCAGGGCCTAAACCACAGAACATGGTCAAAAACTGGGTAACTATGTACCCTTTGTGCTCTGATGGTGATGAAGGTGGGATGAACAGGGGGTCCCAAAATGCACCCCAGACCCATTTTAAGGGGGTGGACCCGGGGTGGACCAGAGTAAAGGCCACAGGGTGGACACATCTGGGATTGGATGGATGGTATCATAAAATGTAACATCTCAGGCACGGCCGGCCCGCGTCCTGTAACATCTTCAGCCTTGGCAAAATAACCCCTCTCTTATCTCACCCCTAATTAACTCCGGAGATTTTTTCCAGCACCAAAACTCCACGGCAACAGGAGCCTTACCTGGTTGGGTCTTACTGGGATGCTGCTGTCCCCCCGCTCCCTGCTGCGGAGGAGGACTGGCCCCCGCTGGCGCCGCGCCTGGCGCGGGGCTGGTGCCGCTCAGGGTCCCGGCGGGCAGTGGTTGCCCCCGCTTTAGGAGCTGCTTCTGTTCTTGCTGGCGGAAGCGTGGAGGCACCTCTCGAGGCAGGTATCGGGACGCAGCCGGCTGCTGCCCATTCGCAGACGCGCGCTTGCCATTGCTGCTGTTGGTAATAGTGCTGGTGGAAGTACTGGTACCGGTACCGGCAGGTTGGGGCTGGCTTAAACTGGTCTTAATAGGTTCTGGCACTGCATTTTTTTAAAAACAAACAAACAAACAAACAATTAATTGTTTTAGTATCAGAGAGGTTGGGGGTTGTGGGGGTTTTTTTACTGTGAATGAGCAAATGGATAATATTTCTTAGTCCCGCAGTTGGCGAAACGTGTTTTCTGCTTAAGCAAAACGTGGCCCAGGACAGTATTTGAACCTTTTATTCCTTACTGCAGCACATCCTCCCTCCTGTTTTAAACCACACAGAGGACAAGAGAAACTGTGACAATTCAGGATTGAACAGGAGGGTCAGTTAAGCTGCCTTTTCAGTTCAGCAGTTTTGCAGGTTTGGATGCAAGCTTGCCAATATTAACATCAAACCCCGTGGCCTACAGCCACGAAAACAAACATTTTCAGGTTTCTAATGAGCTCCCCAAAAACAAATGAAAATATCTGATATACCCGTTTATTCAACACTCACAGAAACTTTAATTTTCTTGTGGTCTTTATACAAGCCTTCACATCAAGCACTTCAGGACACCCCAGGTGTACATCTGATATGCCCCACACTGACCCTGCCTGCAATAAACCAGCCAGGCCACCCTGGAAAAGTGATCAACTTCCACAGCAGCAGCAGTGAGCAGGCACCAGGGCAATGCTGAGGGTGGTCAAAGCAAGCAGGGACTTGGCCAAGCAAAAATATGCCAAGTTTGACAGAACCATCAACATTCTGCTTCTGCAAATTGTTTATTTTGGAAGCCTAAACAATTTCACCTATGCTTATGTCTGCGACAAAAGAGGAACTCTGAATATAAAAAAAAAAATTAAAGCACCAGTAATACCTGAAGAGCAGAGAATAAACCTTCATTGCCTTTTCAAAACATATCACCAGCTTTGGAAACAGTTTATCCATACTCTGACAATGAAAAAAGTAGTTTAAAATTGTCATGGAATGCAGAATAATTATTTTCAAATATCAAATTTGCATATTCAACATGTACGTGAAAACTGTCCTGTTTCCACAATATAAATAAATCTGTTGTCCACATGACAGAAAATATTATTTAATTTTAATGGGTGCTTTTTAACTCCTCCTCCTACTGCTACTACTGTTACAGCAGTGTAAGCATTTACCTACTAAAGCCATCAATTATCACAAAGATGCAAACATTTAGAAACACAGAGACCTGAAATACTCAGTGGTTCTGCAAAGGATGAAGCTGCAACTCCTTTACCACAAGGTTCATCAAGAGCATTCCAGATGCAGCTGATGGACCAAAAATAATGCACCATTCCAGCAAGGAAGGTTCTCCAAGCCTGCTGACAGACCAGGCACACAAACCCTTGTGCCAAGAGATGAGAAGGAATGCCAGGGAAGAGGAGGGAAAGGACAAGAGAATGGAAACCACTGACTGGCACGATGCCAGTGGAGTCGGGATTTGTCTGGCCCTGAGATTTCATAAGGAATAACAATTAATTGGAAACATATTTCAGAGAGCAAGGCAGGCTGCTTTTTAAAAAGCATTATACTCTCCGTACTGTGTATATATAAATCACATCTGATACTTCCAAATAGGTGCGCATACAGAGATATATATAAAACCCATCACTAATGCAAGTCATAGAATACACATTTTCCACTTTAATGTAAATTCACAAAGCTGTTTGATCAAAAAGGTGTGGCCAGAGAAACCCAATTTCAGCGTTAGAGACAATGTTTCCCTCTATATATCTGAATCCCATATGAGAGAAAAGAACAAAGAAAATCAAAATATCACTGTATCTTGGAATAAAAATATTTCTGCGTACGTTAGTTTTTCTCTCATCAATAGAGAAAAGCATATTTTATTTTGTACATCAAAAATCTTTTTAAAAGAGTAGTTAAATGAAAGCTCTTGCAAGAATAGTGTGTCTACAAATCATGGCAGCTGGCAAATAATCATTTAATTACACCACTGACAGGGAATAAAGCAAAAAGAGTGAACAACATCACAGTAATGGGCTTGAGCTCCAAATTCCACCTTCATACCGGGCTAGAATTTAGACTTCAAATACAGCAATAACATTTGGGGAATATATGTTACAAAGACAATATTACTGTATTCTGTAGTCACCTCAGCAATGTTTAAACAGCAATTTTCAGTTGATATGCACTGTGAGAAATACCAACTGTTAAAGTGTCTGCCCTGCATGTCTCATGTGCTATTTGCTCCAACAACACCTTTTAAACCCTTTGGCCACTCTCCTTCCCAAAAGGCTACACTCCAAGAGGAGGGCTGTCCCTTGCAGAACACACAGTGCACAAAGACACATTTCAGCTCGCTGCAGGGTACAAAAGCAGAGCAGAGGGAGCCTCTCCCAGGCAGTGCCTCAGTCAGCAGAGCTGCCCCAGCACTGATGCTCCGTGAGCTCTGCGTTTAATCAGCCCCAAGGGCCGACCTGCCAATCCATGGAGAGCCCCTTCCAGCCCCGGAGGAGCAGCCTGTCCACCCTTTCACCTGAAAGTAATCCACTGTCACAGCTAATGGCATGTGGGCAGCTGTTGGGAATCCAGGAATTAACACGGAGCTTTTACAGCTAAATTTGCCTGAATGCTAAAACTGTTGTTTAAAATGTATGGGGGAATGGATTTGATACTGAGTGATTTCAGGGCTGAAGCAAAAACATTTAAGCAGAAAGCCTCTTGCAAAAATACAATTAAAGGCATAAATAAAAGCCTTGAGATTGCTCGCTCCTAAGATGTTTGTGATGGGTATCTGCTTACTCTCCATTCCGAGCTGTACATACACTAAACAATGAGCTTGCCTGTAATAATTATCAGTACTTAATGGTATCTAAACTTCTTAATCCAATTTCACCCAAACAAATCCAATAATTACTCCATATGCTTTTTGATGATTACAATCTCGGGAATCCCAACTGCATAAAAAAGTGTTACGAGCAATTGTAGGTGGATTTTATTAATATAATGAATAGGATCAGTCTAACAGATTTCAATTACAACAATAGCTTTTAAGTACATTTCTATGACATAAGGAAAGAACATGCATAAATGAAAGAAACCGGTTAAGCCACATAATACTGATTTATGGCAGCTTTTTCCTTTCATTCACCTCATTAACATTTCTCTATATTTCAGAATCCCCCACTCCAGCCCTATAAAACTTGCATTTCCAAAGCCTTCGAGTACCAGACATTCCAGAAGAGAAACAGTTAAACCCAGAAATGCATTCTTGGCTGCTACTGTGACAGGATTTATTTACAGCTTCTATTAAACACAGCAGCTCCATTACAAAGTGCTGGATGTGAGGAGAATTTTTGATTATACAATGCCAATGCCTCACTGTGTTAAACATATCATGCCAGTGTATTATTTTTTTTTTTCCTTCAGCAATTCGTTCAGGTCATTGTTTGATGGGTTTATGAATTCATTACAGGAAACAGATGGATCCCATAATTCAGAGCTATTCTCCCAGCCAATCATATGGGCAATTTTTTTCCTCATCTTGCTCCCCCCTCCAAATCAACCTTAATGAAGCCACTTCCCTCCATGGCCAATTCCCTGCACATACACACTGCAGAGACAACGGCTGCTGCTTGAAGCACCCTCCAAACACTAAAGGCTTTCCAAATAAAGCTGAACAGGAGCACACTCACACAGACACCCCCTCGGAGCTCACACCGAGCGCCAGGAACTTACCCAAGTCGGGCGAAGGCAGCCACGAAATACAGGATTATAGTGGCCCAAAATAGACATCCTCATTAGCAAGAAATCCGTTTTTATTTGCTGACAAAAGTCTCTTTCGGAAAAAAAATTGTTGCCCCCCCCACTCCAACCTACTTTCAAAGGCTGAATTTTCATTTAACAAATTACCTCCTTTGTCTCCTAAGCGCTGGGATTTGTTATCCACAGTGACATCTACTGGTAACAGCAAAGGTGCTCAGAAACTATTGCATAAAAGCTGACTTTAATGTTTTTGTACAAAAATTGGTAATTTTCTGTCTGGATCATCCCTTCCCCCAAACTTCTCCTGAAAGACACCTGCAGAAAATTTACAGTCTAAAGCCAAGAGAAACCCAAAAACTCGTTTTCCACAGTACTCAGAATGGCTTTTATAATGTAACCAGAAGCTGCTGTTCGACATCAAAGCCCACTTTCAGGGATAAAAGTAAAAATACATTTGTTACTGTGGCTTTAGAACTTTATCACGTTTATTTAAAGAAATTACTCAGTTTTATTGGATAAATGATATTGTCAGGAATTGGTACGCTCAGAACAAATGAAGTCTTTACCTGGTTTACCTTCATTTCCCCCTTACTTTGACCTCCCAAATGACCACAGTGCATCTTCTCCTGCCTCCTCTTCCACAGGTTTCCTCTCCACTTCCTTCTCTTGACTTTTGCAACGTTTCCTTCCTCCTTCCTTAGCCTTTCATCATCACAGTTCTAAAACCTCTTCTATAACCCACCTCTCCTGATAGCCTTCTCACTTCTACCAAGTTGGACCTTCTACACAGAACTTGAATTTGATTTTGCCAGGAAATTTGAAGTCAGACTAGGAATTAACAGGAAGCTGCAAAGTTCACTGAAAACCTCTAAATGACTTATTAGGATTTCTCAACTACCTTCAACAAGAGGTTTTACCTTCTTAAGTACTGGCTTTATGCAAAGGTCTGAAATAGAGAAACACTGAGGACTTCATCCACCACTCACCTCTGTTTTCACTCCAGAGCCATATATCCACAAATCCAGCTGACCCTGACTCCTACCCTGACACTCATTTGTTCCTCCCTCCCCCCAGACCCCGTCATCTGCTTCAGTTCAAACAAGTTCTGCCTCTTTTCTCACATTTCCCACCCGTGTCCCACCACTGAAAGCTCTCTCTCTATAACTTAACTGTGTCATAGTTTCTGAAATGACATTTGTACTTGATATTGTCATAAGCAAATTGGGGAAATGTGAGCAAAATGTAAAATTGGTTGAAATGTTCCCTGGGAGAATCAATGGTTTGCTGTCAAAACAGCAGTGTGTTTCAGAA